GCGCTGATTATGATATCATTAATCATTTGAAATCTACAAATAATTTTATACTCGATTAACTTTTCAGGGAAAATATGGTCATTATTGATTGTCAGTATTCATATCACCTGGTCACTGGTATTATTTGTTCAAAGTTAATAATGAAGGGTCAATTAAAGAAACATAAACAATTTTAACAAGAAGTTTTCACCTATCATTAATATAATTGAACATTGAAACTTGCTCGATCCTTGGTACTTAAGAATAAAAAACATTAATATAAAACCTAGAGTAAAGGAGCACTGTCCCAAGTTGTTTTGGCTTACATAAATTCAGTGAGAGGAGATAAACAAAAAAGTGGTGAAATAGTAATAATGATAACACCAACATTAGCGAACAATTGAAAAGAATAAGAAACAAATATATTTGGTCAGTATCAACTCTGAACACAACCACTGCTGTCGTATTACTTTTAATCCTTCTGACACTTGAACCTGGATTTAGTCAATAATATTCATACAAGTTATTAGTAACTTGAATGTAAACAAAACTTTTGTTTGAAATGTTTGAACAGATTTCTTTTTATGCCTATGCAGTTATGATAATGATCCGCCTACATGGACTGATGCATGCAAACAATAGTTGTATTTCTCGACAATAAATCTGTCTAAGATTAGTAAGAAATGTCACTATTAAGTTGATTAAAATTTTGAAATCCCGCCAAAAAGCACTTTAGATGCATTCATTTTATACAACTGCTTTTCTCTATTAATTCAAAATATCAGTAAGGTTAAGATTATCCTTTATTCAACTGTCTCATCAATCATACGCTGGAAAGTCCTTGAAGAAGTGAATGATACAGATGTATATCTGTTGGCTTTTTGACTTCATTATAAGGATAACATCATGAAATACAAATCAGGTTGATGAAATTGTGGTTAATCAGTCAAGAATTAGCGTTCATAAGCACGATATATGCTGAGTACGCTAAATTAATTGAATAAGATAGGGAATTTCGTAAACTATATTGGTGAAAACAATCATGTTTGAATTACTATTTATTGAAATAAACACATATAAGTACAGAACTCTCAATATGTCTTGTGTAATGTTATCTTTTCATTCTGGTTTTATCATGGTGCTTAACATTTTCTAAAAAATATCCTTTTCCTCTTTATAGAGGTCGATAAATCCCTTCCACCGTGTGGGCAACCGGGAAGTGATAACCGCCCTCAAACCTATAACAGTACTTAAGATCACTGTATTCGTAATCAATCTCCTTCTTCAATTCCTATTATTCCTCCTACCTTGACTTTCAACACTAAACTCCCTCTTTCGGCTTCCTCCTCAAGTGCCACCATGACCAACGATTCTAATGTGCGAAATACTGTTCCAGGTCTACTGAAACCTCGCTCCAAACTACACATTGGAGCCTTCAACGTACACCCCATGTAAAATCGACCAGCAGGCCTCCTTGGCTAAAACCCAAAATACGCATAAAGGATCCTAGTGTGGTCATTCACTTGATCTCACGTTGCCAAAATGGAGAGCCGACGAGATACACCTTCCGTTTATCTAGCCGCCCGATGGCTAGTTCTGGTGGACTGGGGGGTGCATGGAAGAGCACTAAGTACGAAGGGCAGAACAAACACAATTACAATGGATCACCGTTAATAGTCGCCTATATGCTGTTCGAGTAAACGGCTCCGTAGGAACACGGAAGGATAGGGACACACGTCGTTGCCTTTTCGTCATTTCTGTCTACGCTACCACCGACTGCAGCCCGGATGAAGTGAAAGATAACTTTTACAGAATGCTCTCTGACCTTCTTCAAAAAGCTAAGCGCTCAGACATAGTACTCGTAGCAAGTGACTTTAATGCCCAATCAGGTAGCTTAAACCAAACAGAAAGACATTTAGGTGGGTATCTTAGTATTCCGGCTCAGCGAACAGATAATGATGATCGCCTGTTGCAACTATGCTCAGACAATCGTTTATTTTTAGCAAGCACCAATCTTAAACACAAGGAGAGACATAATCTAACATGGCGACCACCTGCACCAAACCAAAGATGGGCTCAAATAGACCATACTGTCATCAGTCATCGTTGAAGAGGCTCGATAGGAGACTGCTACTCGTATTGGAATACTTGTTTAGACTCTGATCATGCTTTAATAAGAGCACGCATTTGTTTGCGCCTCACTGGATGTAGGAAAACTACACTGAGAAGACACATTAGAATTGAACTGGGGGACGAGAAAGCCAACAGTAGATTCCAGGAACAACTGGGGTCACACTTAGGCAGTTCTGAAAACGAGACTGACTCAGATGTTGCTTGGAAAGATATGCAAACAGCTGTGAAAACAGCAGCAACATCTATTAGTGATTTGAACCAAAAGGTCACGAAAAACCAGTGGATTTCCATGCTTGCATGCTTTTCAGACTAATAAAGTTAACTGGAATTAAGAAGTCGAGTGTAGGTGAGATGATGTAGGAAAAAGGCGACACTTATCTGCTCTAAGCCCAAACGTTTAGAACTATGGGCGGAACATTTTAAGGAGCAGTTCAGCTGGCCTTCAGCTACTCTACAAATGCCGACCATTCCCAAACATCCTGAATGGAATATTGAAGGAGGTCCCCCAACTCTATTTGAAGTTCAAAAAGCTATAGCTAATCTGAAACGAGAAAGAGTAGTTGGTTCAGATCGATTAGCTTTAGAGGTCTTTAAGGATGGTGGGCCACTTTTAGTGATTAGGTTGACTAATATTTTAGCTAAATTCTGGGAAATGGATGTTACTTCATCAGAGTGATCTCAATCACTGATTGTCCCAATATATAAGAAAGGATCATAATCATCCTGTGATAACCATAGAGGGATTAGTTTGACTAATGTAACATCTAAAATACTAGCCTCAATAATTATCGGACGCCTAACAAAGACTCTTGAACTGCAAACAAGAAGAAATCAGGTCGGATTCAAACCTGGTCGTGGCTGTTTCGATCACATATTCACTATTTGTCAGGTTTAAGAACACAGGCATGCTTATTGGTGTCCGACAATCGTAGTTTTTCCTGACTTAGAAGCAACATTTGACTCTGTAGGCCAAGAGGTTATGTGGTAGTGTCTATCATTGAAAGGTGTACCTCAGAGGTACAGAAACCTTGTGAAGGCTCTTTACTCGAACACTACTAACCGAGTCAGAGCTTATGGCGGACTGTTATCTGATTTCGCAACCTCAAGTGGTGTCCGACAAGACTGTCCAATGTCTCAATTTCTGTTTGATTGCATCATAGACCTACTGATGGAAATAACGTTCTCTGAATTTTCAGAAATTGATCTCCTTCCAGGGGGTACCTTTATTGACTTAGAATACGCAGATGACGCTGATAAAATGCAGTCTTCTGTTAGCACTGAGTAACAATACCAGGATATTTAGGATGCGTTCCCCCCCCCTCTAAATGTAAACTGCTACTGCAGGACTGGCCTGCGTCAACACCTGAACTAAGGATAGGGAGTCAAATAGTCGAACGTGTCGACAACTTCACTTATCTTGGAAGTCTGATCAGTCCTAATGGGTTGGTGTCTGACGAAATCTCAGCACAGATTCGAAAAGTTCGTTTGTCTTTTGCCAACTTACGCCACCTATGGCAAAGACGAGATATCCGTCTATCAATTAAGGGACGAATATACTATGCAGTTCTCTTTTTTCTACTTTACGGCTAAGAAACGTGACCATTAGGAGTAGAACATACTCGTAAGTTACTAGTATTTGACCACAGATGTCCTAGAAGTATTGTTCGCATCTGCTGGGATCACCGGGTAAGTAGTAACGAGGTTAAACACATGGTATTAGGGAATGACGATAAATCAGTTGATGAGGTTGTCAATCTTCATCGACTGAGATGGTTGGGCCACGTGTTACTTATGCCTGAACACCGATTACCACGACGCGCAATGCTGACTAGTGTTGGAGAGGGTTGGAAGAAAGTTAGGGGCGGCCAAACTAAACGTGGCATCAGTGCTTGAAGTCGCTAACTTCTATTCTGTGCCATGTTGGTAGATGTAGACTGCTTGGTTGGGGCCCGCATGACTATCGTAACCAATGGTTGGAGACCCTAAGTGACATGGCTGAGAATCAGTCACAATGGCGTAGGTGTATACTCTTTGTCTTCCCTTAAACTGTGAGGTTAAAATTTCTTTATATCTTTCTTCCTATGAATTAATTATTTCTTTCTGTATTATATCCATATACACAACCTTTCTTTTTATATATTACTATCATTGAAGTAGGTACTATGAATTTGATGGTCATCTTTTGCCAATGAGGGGTGGCAACTTGAACCGATACATATATGTGCCCGATTCCACGTTGTAGCTGACTGACTGAGAGGTCGATAAACAAAAAAGTTTCACCCGATGATTAGAGTTCGATGGAATTCATATTAATTTTGCACAATTTAATGCTATCAATATTTAATAATATCTATATCTAACAAATATGACTACTTTTACAAAAAAGACAGAAATTCCATTGGTAAATAACTACACCACCTAATTGATAATCTTAAACTCATATCCAACGCTCGAATGAATTTCCTGGATTTTAAAGTACCATTTTATAAAATATAGTACATAATATGAAACAGAAGTTACAGACTTTCATTCTTTGGTTTTTATCTGCAATTAAACCAAATGCAGGTTTCCAGAAGATAAACATGTATCCTGCATTATTTTTTGTCACTATGTGAAACAACTTGAAATCTACCTTTCTCATCAAGTTAATTCTGTCTTTAAAATGTGGTTATAGTCTTTGATGAGAATTTGTAACCTTATTTAGTAACTACTAATGTTAAGCTTATAATTTGGTTAGCTATTACAGTTCATTTATTTGAAACCCTAAGGTTTATAAAAAGTATCCTAATTTTGTCAAGCAGTCCCAGTATTTGCTTTGTTTTCATAAAGTTCTGGTCATAAATTGAATCAACCGTTGCCCGTGGCATTAAAAACATAGATTCACTTACCACAAAATTCCGGTGTTCCTGCCATATCTTGAAAGCTTTCATTTGGATTTAGAACTCTGGCTAGGCCAAAATCAATAATTTTTATCTTTCTGGATGCCAGATCTTCAATCATTATATTCTCAGGCTAAAAAATCAAGATTTCATTATTAAGTATATTGAAAGATGCAAAAATAAAAAGTATAAACGCGTGATAGAGTGTGTAAAATTACCTTCAAATCCAAGTGAACTATTCCCAAACCATGCATATGTTGGACACCCAGAAGAATTTGCTGGACAAAATTTGAGGCCTCCTCCTCTGATAAACGCTCACAATCGGCTACGCGTGCAAACAGTTCCCCACCAGTTACTCTAATAAGAATGAAAAATCATCATGAATAAATGTTTTTATATTTGGTAAGACAGTTATCAATCATAAGTAACCTAAGACCTGGAACAAACATTCATCAAAACAAGTCGTTACATTCAGAAGCCTATTGCTTCGTATCAATTGTTTCTCAAACAGATAAAAATATGGTTATTTATGGTTACACCTATGTTATCAGAGTAAAACGGTTAGTCTAACTGTAAATAACAACAAACCATGTCTTCATTTAACTGCAAACTCGGTAACACGTACTTTGATTTGGGTAGCAGGGTAGTAGCAATAGCCCACCTACAGTATGGCCCAAAATCAAGTACATAAACTTGTCCTTATTATGGCAGTTGTGTTATAAACCAAAAATGCAGTATGAAAGAAGAACCTAATTAGTGCAGCTCTTAACTTTTTTCGATGCTTACCAATAATTTTCATGGTTTCATTTTTCAATTTGTTTTTTCATCACTAATGGAATATAAAAAATTAATTCACATTTCAGAAATAATTATTAACTGGTGGATGGACTAAAACAAGTAAAGAAATGATGGGCCCTGAATTTACTCGACGTTATGTGCAATTGTATTTCAGTCAATCATCTCTGCAATATGTCGAAATACAAATTAAACAGTAACTGAGATCTAATAGATTCCATTAACTGTTAGCAAACATTAATTATACATGATAGGAAAAGTTGAACAGAGTTTCAAAACTCTATTTCATCAGCTTTCTAGTTTACTAACTATGCGGTACTTTAAGTAAAGACGAGAACGTTGTTCAATTCTATGGAAGCTCAAACATTTCATCGTTAAGAAGCTGGGTACATTTGAACAGGCTATTCCGTACACACAGTAAACTTTAACTCTATGTACCTGCATTCGAAAAGTATTTAACTGCTGACATATCTACAACATTAAAGAAAAAAGTCAAGATATCAGTTGACTATTATCTTGTTCACAAGTGATTCGGTCAACAATATACTGCATCTAGAAGCCATAAGAGATAGCATTAACTTACAAGAGAAAGTGAAAGACAGTTTAGGAGGACAGCCGCAAGAAATTAAATATCAAATATGCTTGAAGCATCAGTTCTTTTCATTTACTAGTCAGACATGGTAAAAAAGCTAAGCCATGATCGTAAGTATCAGCAGTTGTCAAACGTATTTAAAAACCTGCTTAGCTACTAAGTCGTATGGTCTTTGTGATTTAACCTATAAAAGGGTGGTGTATCATATAATAATCGACTAAAACCATTTTTGACATATACAAAATAAAATGGAAGAACCAACAAAAACACAAACAGATGAGTCTTCCACTGATGTAGAGAGGAATCTTTGTTCTATCAGTCTCCAAGAAGAGCCTGAGTAATATATTTGACTTATTTGTTTATAAATGTGCTATGTATCAACATATTAGTTCCCATTACGACTAACATATGAGAACGGGAAGTCGGACAGAATTGGAAATATTACTAGCCATATATTGAATTCTTTAGTGACTTAAGTCCTGAGTATAATCACAATTACTGACAGAGTGAACTGTTTGTATAATCCTAACGGATGTTTAAGTGAAGTAGATAAGAAGCCAATCAATATAATATCACAATTCAACCACTTGATTTGTGTTTAAATCTTGAAAAGCAATCGAAACATAACATACGACTACCTATATGAGATAAGAAAAATCAAAAAATGATTGGCATAACTACAGTTAAGATTACGGAATCACATACATACAATCATAACACTAACTAACTGAAACGCTAAAAGGCCAGTTAGGGCGATTGTAATACACTGAAAATTCGCGGTAAGGCTAACACAGAACCCTTCTCGGGCTACTTCCAGCGTCAAGCCCAGTTAAAAGAGGGTTAAGAAAGGAGTCAGCAACCATGAAAGTAACCAGTATTTGGTGAAAAAGCTTCAAGACTACATAGCGCTCACAACAGGTGTTTGGATGCATAATCATTTCATGACCTATAAATGCACATAAAAACACCAGAAAAATACAGACAACCAGTAAGACGTATTAGGAGTTGGAAGGTTTGCTCCAGTGACATAAAAACATGCAGCTTGAATGATAAGCCGACGCAATAAGTATAAACCGTTAAAATCTTTAGTAATAAACCCTAATAACTACATCACGTTATACAAACGGTATATTTTACGGATAAAGGGAATAGTACTTGGTAAAAACACTTGTTGAAAACAGCCCTAAACGAACAACAAATACTGTCTGCAAAATCAGCGTCAAATTTAGACGGTTTGTACGCACAATAAGATAATTATTAATTGTACATGCAAACATATAGAATAATTTATATGAAGATAACTCAAAATACCAATCGCTAAAAAACACATCATGATAGATTCATGCTGGATTACAAACTACTTACAAATCCAGAATGAGAACAACGGAATCCTCTCGATAGAAAACTTCATGCAAATTGACAATATTTTCATGTTGTAAATTTGCTAAAATGAAAGCCTCGCGGTCAATATCAGAAACGCTCGATCCATGAAGTCCTGTGTTAATCCGTTGCTTCATTATAAACTTGGCCGCATATTTCTTGTTCGAACTTTTGCACACACAAAGATTGACGTCTGCGAAGTGTCCACTGACAATTCCATAGGATCGATATTATTTGAACTTACTCTCCAATTTTCTGTTGTATATCGTACAAGTCCTCCAGGCAACCGTGATTAACAAGAGGCTCCTAAAACATGATATTTCTCCGAAGAATATTCTACCTGACTTAGCAGAGGCATAATAATCAAACCATCTGATCGGCGTTAAAACCAAACCTCGCGCACAGACGCTGTATTTTTTGTTATCAGCTCTTTTGAAGTGTTGAAACAAACTCATCCCTTTATCTTACATGGACTGACTGAAGGTCGAAATAATGTTCCATGAAGTTTTTATTGATTGAAAACAAGGGTTTCTGAGCATAATAGAGGCTTTTACTTTCATAACCTACAATCGACAATGAAATCTAATAAACATTTGGACGAAGCTTCTGACAATTAATAAGTTTATTCTTTGCTTATTAAATGTCGAGTGTGTTCAGTAGATTTTCGCGAGGAGCCAAGACGCGCAAGATGGAAGTTTGCGCTCCAGTTCTTAGCAGACAGGTTAGATTTCCATCAATCCGTCAACCAATAAATACTACAAAAGAGTCCCTCCATAGAGGAAGTCAAACTCTGAATTCCCGGCACAGGAAATTAGGCCCGTCACTGAAATGTATAAATGTCGATGGTACGCAAGCGAAAAACAGCTAAAATTTGAAAGAGATTCAAATCCATTCAAATCCTTTTTGTGGAGTAAAAAGGTAAAGTCACTTCTTTGGAGACAATGCGTAGTAATCGCAAACTTAAATTTCTGAGGATGCTGAAGCAGTGAAATAAGGTTTTGCTTAGCTGAAATCAGGAATGCGGAGTGAACCTGTCAGTCACTGTTGTTCTTCAGCTGCTCACTAGAAATGGTTACCCGATTCCTTGTAGACAGATATTCGATTCCATTTTGTTCGAAATATACTTATTGACGCTCAGATACATGACAGTTATTCATTAACCACTTTTTTTACTGTAAAGTAGGTTATTTCGTACGAGTAAAACCTTAGAATGTGAAGTAACGCCTGTACATCTGAAGCATTTTAACTCCCTTGATATAATTTGACCCCACAGAATCATAGAAATTACCGATAAAGTTTGTTTCTCTATATGTTGCGAATTGAGATGTCTATGTTATATATCCCTAAGTTTACAATGGATACTAATCCTTTCACACAAATTAATCTGAAGATCAAAAATACGTTTGAACACACGTTTTCATTTATAACAGTCAAGGATACTGACTGCATGGTACTACCTAAAAGAAGAGCAATCTCAGAATAGACAGCTACCATAGAGGATAAGCAACATTCCTATTACAGTTAACTCTAACAGGCAAAATAGAAGTGATAGACAAATAAATGCTTGAAGACGGCAAACATGTAAGTCTACTCAACGTGCATGTTCACTGCCTAGTCACTAGAGCTGCACAGACATTCACTTGCATCTTGAGTAAAATGATGTACAATAAACAAACTCGTAGTTAATAGACTTTTAGGTGGAAGACAAATGTTTGTGAGAAGGACCTTAGTCAGATAGAGAATGATTGAAAGTTACCAATTAGAAATTTGACAATTTTCTCACTTATATATGAACTGTCCTTCCACTGTTTTAATTTTGCTTTAAAGCAAGCATTATGGTTCTTGGCTCTGGAGTTTATCGTATTGGCTCTAGTGTTGAATTCGACTGGTGCGCTGTCGGTTGTGTCAAGGAACTTCGACGCTTAGGATGGAAAACAGTTATCATCAACTGTAATCCCGAAACTGTATCAACTGATTTTGATATGTGTGACCGACTCTATTTTGATGAACTATCTCTTGAACGTGTTCTAGATATATATGAGTAAGTCCCATATACTACAACCATTTTAAGTAACTTTACGTTTTATTCCACAGAAAATATACGCTTCTGAAAGAAGAGGTTTTCCAAGGAGTTTTGTAATTACTTAAGTGACTCGAATGAAACTCTGTATCTTAATTAAAAATTACCTTACTAATTCTTTGCTATTTCACTGATTAAACAACTTAACGGTCCTAACGACGTGTTAATTCGTTTAGTAAGGCATTTTTGACAAGAAACAAGTACTATTTAGTACTGTCAGGTCTATATTTTTGGTGGCACTTTTAGTTCTCTGATGTCCTTAGAAGTGTAATATATATCGTACTGTGCAGCTTGATCAGATGGCTGCAAATGCCCTTGGGGTAAGTCTCCTGGTGAGATGCAACAGGCTTTCAGCTTGATGAACCCCCAATCACTTCAATACAATCAGGTTGAATATGCTATTAAAATATTATTTCAATATGCTTTTGGATGTCATTCGTTTTATACTCACTGAGTTGATGAAATGGGATTTACTATTCAGTGTAAACAGAACGATATCGGAAACCATGTTAAATGTGATGTGTTGCAGTTGGTGTTTCTTTATTGTTTCTTTCTCCTTAGTACAACTCAGTAAATTTACAAATTCGTTTATTAGGCTTTGAGCCACAAGTTTTGTCTCAAGGTCTAGCAAAATTAGTCGTTCGCCCGAACTGAAGTCGCTTAAGTTGGATTAGATCTTGTGACCCATGCTTAATAGCTGGATGATTTTACCAAGTGACTACCACTACCAAACATCGCTGGTCTTTTTAAGTGATCTGGGTGGGTGATCTTTGGAAAAATTTATCTATAATAGGTTCAGACGATGTTCAACGTTCACCAAGTATGCTACGTCTGGCCGATTGTGAACGCTATATTCGCTTCCCTAAGCTAGTTACGTACCCCCGAGCTAGAACTATACACCGACTTGAAGACCAGAGAAAAGTCACAAAGTTTGTGGGAAGCACTTTACTACAGGGTTCCTTTATGTACAGAAAATACAGGGATTTTATAGTAATTTAAGAGACCTTGAGTTTTACCGAAAGTTCTAGAATACTGCTAAACATAGTGGCAGTGTGTTAATCAGCCAATCAGGATCTGGTTATTTTAGTAACATAACTTCACACAACTTCTAACTAATCGCTGATTGGTTGGGGCTGTTTATGAGCCTCTGGAGGCTCTGTTAGAGTTCTCCGGAAGCCGACTCAACAAAGTAGATTTCTGATCTCGACCCATTGACCTACAAAAAAACTGCTGTTACTACAGTTATATAATGGGCCATCACTTAGATGTAATAAATTTTGATTGAGAGTTTTTGATGTGAATAACGCTTTGATTTTTTTGTTAATTCATTCCTTACATGTCATCACTTTTGTACAAAAAATGTTATGCCCGAGATTTAACTTGAATTTGATATTAAAGCACTTCCTAGGAGATCATTTAGCTATGTTTTGTGTGTCAATTTTAATTCCTAAACATAATTACAGATTCGAATCACCCATAGGTGTTATCGTAAGCATGGGTGGCCAAACACCAAATAATATCGCTATGCCAATACATCGCTTAGGTGTACCTATTCTCGGCACAAGTGCTGAGTCCATTGACAATGCTGAAAATCGTTTCAAGTTTTCACGTTTGTTAGACTGTATCGGGTTGTCACAGCCTAGATGGAAAGAACTCACTGATATTGATTCAGCCAAGGCCTTCTGTGAAGAAGTAAGCAAGGTTTCTCTATTTTATGATATTTTATTTTGCTCATAATTTTGTTATCTCCAACAGTATGACGTAATTCCTATCATGGATACTAAATCCATAGCTACTCTTTAAAAAGCGCTTTCCAGATGGGTAAACATTATTCTAAAAAATCGGCTTCATCCCTTTTTAAATTTGATCACGTAGATTTTGAACTCGGCATCTATTTATTTGAGTTGTCATCAGTTCCAAATCTTATTCTTTATTATTGTTTAATAAATAATTCAATCAGTAATAGGTAGTAACCGTTTTACAGTAGATGTTTGTTTAAACTCAGCCATTAATTCTTATAAAGCTTAAATGGATATAGAGCCATGTTATAACACTTTACTTCTGCACCATTGCCTGTAAATTCGTGACTCAAAGCTATGGATACAAAATCAAAGATCTTAAAACAGTAAACGCATGTAGATTGAATAGACGATTTGCATAAAACACGCTTTTGAACTGAGTAGAGTATTTAGAGTGACGTACAAACTTAGATAATTTATTATCATCATTGAAATAGTTGGAAGGAAATTTATCTGTATCGAGAAGTTGGCACTCGTTGTTTTTCAAACATGGGGATAAATAATTATTTTTAAAGACACATCCATGACATTAAAATAGTGTGATTTAAAACAAAGTACCTGATGATTTCAGCTATAAGGATAGAAATTGGTATAATATTTTAAGGAATTGTATCCCCACTGAGTAGAAACTTTTCATTGTCTAGAATGGTGAATTCCTCCGTCCAACCAGTTCAAACAATCAATAGAGGACATTCGTAAGTTACTAGTAGTTGACAATATATACCCATGAAGTGTTAGTCTCCCATGTTGGGACGGCTGAGTGAGCAATATTAATATTTAATCCAGGGTAATTCCGTTTAAAAGATTATAAATCTCCATCAACTGAAGTGGTTGGTCATGTATTACATATACCCATAAGCCACCTACATCGACACGCAATGATTACCAGTGTATGAGTAGGTTGCAAAAAAGTTAAGGACAGCTAAGCCAAGACGTCGCATCAGTCCATAAAATGATTAACTATTGGAGAAATCCATTTTTGTAGATTTGGACTAACTCCATGTGATCAGTGTGATAATTCCAACCAGTGGTTGGAAACTTTGGATGATGTGGCTAAAAATCAGTGGTAATTGCACAGAAGGATTCATTCTTAGCCCTTAATTCGGTACTACGCTTCAAAATTATTTTGTGCTTCTGATTCTACAAGTTTGTTTATTCTTCTCCAACCAAATTCCCTTTGCCTAACATTCTTTGTACTATCACTGTTACTACTACTTCTAATACTCTAGTATTCATCTTAATAGTCTCATTTCACTGTGCTGGTTTGGTATTTTAATTTGATCCTATGCACATACGTGAGGTTCTATGTTGGTCATGACTTACCGATTGATGAATCCGTTGGAGGTAACTGATCTCACCTCTCCCAGAATGGACTTGAAGTTAGATTGCAAATCAACTTGGCAACATGTTCACTAAAATGATTGATTTAAGACATGAAAATAACATTGGTGAATTGATGACAATAAAAAAAATCTTATTATTAATACTAGTAGTTATTATATCCTGTTGTTCAGAAGTTTTTGTTCTATTTTCATTTACAGGTCGGTTACCCGTGTCTCGTTCGACCAAGCTACGTGTTATCTGGTGCTGCTATGAATGTTGCAAACGATCATGATCAATTAATTACATTCCTGACTGCCGCAAAAAATATTAGTCCAGAACACCCAGTTGTTATAAGTCAATTTATTTTGGATG